CGAGTCTCCTGCCTCCGCCTCCCAAGTAGCTGGGACCACAGGCGCCCGCCACAACGCCCGGCTATTTTTTGGTTGCAGCCATCATTGTTGTTTTGCGGGTCCAGGCTGGGGATTCGAACCCGCCACCTTAGGTGTACGTGGCTGGCACCTTAGCTGGTTGAGCTATAGGCGCCGAGCCCAGAGCAATAATTTTTATGACAGGGAGAAACGCCAGAATACATACCAGTGCATTTCCTTGTGGGACTGATTTCGTTTGTGGATGGCATCTCCATTTATAATATCCCGGTTACTATTAGTAAGTACACCTCCAAAATCATAAGGACCTATAAAACAAAGAGAAGAATCCTAGACTTCAATTGAAGAGTTTCATTGATCTGATGTTCAAATACAAAAGTAACGTGTGAATCTCTCATTGATATAAGGGAAGATAATTACAAAACAACGCACTCTTGCTCAGGTTGGTCTCCATTATTCATTTATTATTATTTTTTTGTGTGTGTGAGACAGTCTCACTTTGTTGCCCCAGTAGAGTACCATGGCGTCATAGATCACAGCAACCTCAAACTCTTGGGCTCAAGAGATTCTCTTGCCTCAGCCTCCAGAGTAGCTGGGACTACAGGCGCCCGCCACAACGCCCAGCTATTTTCAGAGACGGGGTCTCACCCTTGCTCAGGCTGGCCTCAAACTCCTGATCTTAGGCAATCCACCCTGCATTGGCCTCCCAAACTGCTAGGATTAAAGGCATGAGCCACAGCGCCTGGCCCATTTTAATTATTTTAAAATTAAACATTTTAATGTAATGCAATGTTTAAATGATTTCAGTATATTGTCTCTTTCAACATTAAAAAAAAATCATTGAATTATTTATCAGTTCTTCAAACAGAATACAATGGGAAACAAAACAAGCATCTATCAGATCCCATTATTCTGGGTAATAAAAGGAGTAGAGATCAAAGATGTTCAAAATGACTTTTATATTTCAAGTAACATTTAAATCTTGTCTAAATGGAATAGCACCTCTCTCAAAGGACCACTGTATTATTACCTTTTGTACTTCAAAAAAAGTGGTCAATATGTTAAGCAGTGACACAGAAAACTTGCTTTAACAGTATAAAAGACATAGAAATAATTATTTATAAATAAAGTTACTAACTTATTTACAAGAAAAGCTAGTTTAAGATTTTGCATCACTTTCAATATTAAGTGTTATATTTTATCCCTTAAAAAATCACTTCCATGAAAAGACTAAAGATTTTTATTTTCATTTTAACATTTAAGCAAATCTGTAGGTCATGCACGGAAGATGGCAAGGACATGCATGCACTGTATAAAGGAATGCAAATTTCAACAAACAGATGAGGAGGAAAATGCTAAGGATGTTAAAAGAATTTTTTTTTTTTTTTTGCCCAGACAGACATTTAATTATCTTATTTACATCCAAGTTACTCATCTATTTTGATCAATTTCTGGGCTTATATTCTGGACAGTTTAAAGTTTTTATTCTGAAACAGCATCCCAATATTCTACAGATTAAAACCATAAAACAAAATATAGGACAGAATACAAAATCACGACAAGGGCTTGAACTTTCACAGTTACAAAAGTACACTGATTTCTACAAAGACTTTCAGCCATCATGTAGCCACTGACCAAATTCCCTAATGTACTAAAGGCTGAGAAGAATTTATTTAAATGAAGTAGATAATTAGGCTTACTTACTCCTTTCAATTTCAAAACATCAAACTCCTTATATGGTTATATCTATATATACTTATATATTACGGTTTTGGAAAATTTGATATTGAAGCAAGCACTGAATATGTAAATTTACCAATGACTTATGAGAAAATTGATGAGATTCACTGTATAATATTTCAGGAAACAGAACAGACTGAGGTACCTATAAGATTGCCAATTCAACAAATAGATCAGGTTTCCAATCTGACAGCCTTTCTAGAAAGCTTGAGATGGTCTGTGGGCTACAGGCCATCATCTTGTAGAAAATAAAGAGAATTCAAGCCCTGCTCACAACAGAGAGCATTCCTTTATTATACCTTCACTATCAGAACGACCTGTGGGGAAAACACCAGTGGCTGACAGGTAGATCAGAAGCACACTATTGGCAGGCAGCTCCTGAAATGAAAGAAAATCACACATACAAAACAACAAACAGGAAAAAACAATACGGTTTTATTTAAAGTTTATGGCATTTTTAAGTTGCGAGGAAAACAGTAACTTAATTTAACATATTGCTGGCTTTTCTGAGAGAAGAGTCACTCTTGCTGGTTCTGACTGAAAACTACACCACAGCAAACATTCTTTATTAATCTCTATAATGATTGCTGTAAGTTGTGAAAACATTCTCTGATTCAAAAACCACATCGTGTAGAGAATCCTCTCTGAAAACATGAAATGGAGAAGTAAAAATCTTGATTATAGGCCTAAAAGACAAACTTCCTGACACAGATTTTTCTATATAATCTTTGGCAAGAATGTTCCAATTTCTCATAGTTCTCTCAGATGATCAAAATGTTTCACACAGCTTCCTAAATATAAAAAACACTTAGACTCTCTGCTCGTTTGTCAATTGAATAATAATAAAACCTGGAGAAAGGAGAATGATAACTAATCTATATTCTAATTAATTATTTTAATAATTAGAAATATTCCCAACATCATAAGAAATTTTCATTCCAAAAAAAAGCTATGATCAGGATCATTATTTTAGAGGCGTTTCAAAGAAAAGAGTGACTCTCAGATTACATTTAGGGCACAGTTTCCCCATGTAAAGAAAGGTGTCGGATCACACGTACCTTAAAAGATGCTGCTAAGAATGTGTACAGTTGGCTGAAGGTTGGCTTGTAAAGCAGATACTTGTGAGGGTTTTCTCGTCTGGTAGGCTTGTCAGCCGATTCCTGTATTTACACACAGAAAACAATATATAGCCACCCTATGCTTAACAGATCAATTTTCAATGCCTAAATGCCTATTTTTACTATCTTCTTTACCAAATATTCTTTTTACTCAGTGTTACTATAATTATGCTCATCTCTTTCTCCCTGTTTCATCAATAGAATTCTTTTTATTTTTTGTAGAGACAGAGTCTCACTTTATCGCCCTAGGTAGAGTGCCATAGCATGACACAGCTCACAGCAACCTCCAACCTCTTGGGCTAAGGCAATTCTCTTGCTTCAGCCTCCCGAGTAGTGGGGACCACAGGTGCCCACCACAATGCCTGGCAGTTTTTTGTTGCAGTTTGGCCAGGGCTGGGTTCAAACTTGCCACCCTGGGTATATGGGGCTGGTGCCCTACCCACTGAGCCACAGGCACCATCTTCTTTTTTCTTCTTTTTGAGGTAGTCTCACTCTGCTGCCCTGGGTAGAGCACCCTGGCATCATAGCTCACAGCAACCTTAAACTCTTGGATTCAAGAGAGCCTCCTGCCTCAGCCTCCCAAGTAGCTGGGACTACGGGCACTTGCCACAAGGTCCAGCTAGTTTTTCTATTTTTAGTAGAGATGGGGTCTTGCTCTTCCTCAGACTGGCCTCGAATCTAAGCTCAAGCAATCCAACCGCCTCAGCTTCCCAAAGTGGTAGGATTATAGTCATAAGCCACCACACCCAGCTTTTCATCAGTAGAATTCTTGTTCACATTTGTAGCATCAGTTGAATAATGGGCTGCAATCCATGAGGGGCAGAAGCAGCCAGAGAATTACCCAATTTGCATGTGTAGGGAGATCACCTGCATTCCTGGTTTATTCATCTGGGAAGCTAAATTCATTGGCTCCCTTTCCAGGGCTTGCAACATCCGAAACATGTCAACAGTTAGTTCGCTGAACTTAACCTGCAAGAAAAGTAAACCTGGCCATTAATGCAGCACACAGACCTCGAAGTCTGTCCTCACATTATTACTCTTGACTTGTATGTGTACTCAAGGACCCTGGTTATCTTATTCTTTATTACTTCACCATGAAAATTTTCAAAAGATAAAAGGTTTAGAAGAAGGGGGCATTGTCTCTACCTTACATTTAACATTTTCATATTTGTTTTTTTACCACATATCTACCCATCTATCCATACCTTTACTGATCCATTAACTGCCTCAGGTATTTTTAAAAATAAAAAACCCAGAGTTACCAAAATATAGACTGTATGATGTCCCACAAAACATGCTAACTTTTGGCAAATTAGCTAGGCTAAAAATTATCTGTGACCCATATTTTACAATCTCATACATTTTGGTATTATACAATACTTAAGATACCATCATTTTTTAATTTTGTTTCCTTTTTTTTTTAGACAGAGCCTCAAGCTATCCCCCTGGGTAGAGTGCCATGGCATCACAGCTCACAGCAACCTCCAACTCTTGGGCTCAAGCGAGTCTCCT